AATTTCAAAATAAACTTTCTCTTACTAGACTCAATTTTAATCAACTAACTTTGTAATTTTATTTAGATAGAACTACGTGGCTTTAAGTTTCTCATTGCACTTAGGGATACGTAGGAGCACGAATCGTACCCGTCAAGTCAAAATAATTTTTAAAATATTTTATTTTTTCTTTTAAGATACTGAGTTAAAATTTTAATAAATAATTTTTTTTCTCTTCTTCTAAAATAAAAATAATTAATGTTTAGGTGTTAAATAATTATTTTTAAAAATTAAAATAAATTTGCACAATTAATTTAAGGTAATCATTTTTAAACGGACATTATAGGGTGCTAATACCTTTCATACACATAAATGACTCCTGAACTCATTTTTTGTTTCAAAGATCATATTATTTTAAAAAAAAATTTATAAGATTTTTTAAAAATAAAGTTTGGTGACGACTCCTCTAATTTTTAAAAAAATATTTTTATTCTTGAAAGATGTTTCTCATAAACAAGTTTTACTATATCATTGCAACTGCTCATTTATAACATTAGTAACAAATAGTTATAAAATTAAAAAATTATTTTATAAAGTAAATTATTTTATGTTAAAATTAATTTATATTTCTTTGATTTTTTTAATTTATAACAAATATATTTTATTAATTTTTCTTGTAAATACTTATTTAAAAATTTACTCAAATTAAGTGTATTTTAATTTTAATATACCAAGATAATTAGTAAATCTTTTTGTTGGAAAATTACAAGTGGCTCTATTATTTACGTAAAAATGAGGTATTTCATCAAACTTTGTCCACAATGTTTCTTACAAAATTCATTTAAACATTGCATTTATGCATTTTGATTTAAGATACTTATACTAAACCATGTTAATGTAAAGGCAAAATATAAGAAAATTTGTTCTTTGATACGGTGAAAACGTAATATTTGATAAAGATGGCAAATTGGAGTTGGCTGGACTGAAAATTATTTACCTACTCATTCGTTTAGTTTTTTCAGCTCTAGCTTGTTTTAAATTTTTTAAAAGTAAAATATAATTATGTAATGAATTAAATATTAATTTTTATTAATATAAAAATATTTTTATAAGTTTTTATTATTTTTTTGTAAATTTTAAATTAATTTTAGAGAAGTCAGGCCGGTTAACTCATTGAAGCAGCATGGGACAAAATAGTCAACTTTACTATCGCTATATTTGACCCCAAGCCATGGGAACTCCAAAAGCAAAATATATAATTGATATGTTGAAAACAAATGCGAATATTATTAAGTTGCTACTTATATATGTTAATGTAAAGTAAGTCATTTGTTGATTTTAACTCAAACACTTTTCGTTATATAAAATTGTCCCAACTTCGTTTTATTTTTATGTATTATTTCACTATAATTTCCTAAATTTCATATACACCTACTCTCAGGTTTTTAGATTGATAATTGAAGTTAAAAAAAAGTGGTAGTCTTGTGTTTGAGCATGATAGTAATTTTACTCAATGTGTGATTATGCATAACTGATTGATATATTCATTTGGTACACTTTTGAATATGTTAATTACTAATCAATCTTCGCATTAATTTGCTTTCTAGTTTGTCATCATAATATTATTGAAATTTGACCATTCTCAGGCTACTAGAATTTAAAAGTTGCACTTAAGTCCCAACTATTATCATTATATTGACTATTAGATATAATTATAAATGAATAAGATAAAAATAAAAGCTATATGATATTTTAAATTAATTATGTAATTATTAATTTTTTTAATTCTAATAATTTATATATAATTATATCATCAAAACTTATACATCTCATTTTTCATATTAAAAATTTTCTTATGCCCATTAATGTTATTTTAAAATCTCATAGTGTTAAGATAAATAGCTGTTATAACCACAATTTTAGAAAACTTTTAATTGTTATTGAGGTCCTTTATTGGATTAGTGATCAATATATAAAAAAATATATGATGATACATTTTTATGTATTTTTAAATATTAAATGTATTGTTTTTATTTGATATAAAAAATGATTTACTAACAAGATACTAAAAATATCTTCATCCTATGTATGTAAAGGTGTATCACACATGATTTATTATCTAATCTCGAATTTTGTGGGGACTTGGCCTGACTCAGTTTTGCTCTAAGTTGCCAAGTTTAATGATAAATCGTCCCATTAATCATGTTGTCTTTGAAGAATTATAAATTTTATTTTAGGAATCTTCATATGCTTGTAGAATCCATAAGCATTACAATTAATATATATATAAAATAAAATATACGTATGATGAGTATGGATCTTTTGGTTGCTTTAATTCATCCAATCTTCTTAAAGGGCCATGGATGGGACATCGAATGAGCATGCATTCAGCCCTTTAGTAGGCTTTACTGTGTTGACATTTCAATATTTTTTATATCATCCTTATATTTTATTTAAGACAAAGAAAATATGTTATAGGATATGTGCCTTTTGTTTATTTAAAAAGTGAAATAAAATATATTTAAAAAATGTATAAATAACATGATTGGATAAATAATAAATAGTTTGAAGTAGAGACATCTATTCCAGATCCCACCATGAATGGAAGAGAAAGGATGCAAGCAACCTCCACACACCACTGCTACTCCACTCTTTAATCTTTCAAGATTCTACCTTTCCTCCCACCTCTCTTGGTTTTCTTTCATTGATTCTATTGCTCATGTCATGAATCATATCCAAGCTTCTTTTCACTATTTCCTTCCTCATCTAATAGTTTATGTATGATTTTAGGTAATTTATTCTTTACTAGGCTAGTTAAAACCCCAATAATTTAAGGTATTTTACTCTTTAAGGTACATTCTGGATATGGTGTTGAAACTTTAGAAATTAAAAAATATGTTCTCCGAAAAAAAAAAGCATGAACATAGATAAATATCTTGCAAACTTTTCTTTTCACTTTTAACTCCTTTTACAGTCAAGTTGAATAGACTCATTTAAAAAAAAAAGTTCTTTTGATATTAATTTTTTTCATTTATAATATTTGAATTTGAGAAAAAAAAATTAAATACTGTATCACTTGAAATTACAAGATATTGTTCTGTCAAACCTTAACCTAAAAGCAATTCATTGCATATATATAAAAATTTGTGGAGGGTTAAAGGATCCAAAGTGGATAAAGATTAACTATTGGTTCCATTCACAAAAAAATGATGAGAAAAGAAAAGGTTGTTGGGCAATGAGCAGCTTTTGGGATCATGATCGTCTGCAGTTGAAGAGGAGTGACCTGTTGTTCATAATTAAAGAAGAAAAAGTGATATTATATTTTTCTTTTATTGGATTGTTCCCATCATATGACGAAAGAATGCAGTGCCTAAAAAGGCAATTTTGAGGCTTTATTTGAAAACTACTTCTAAGCCGCGCACTGTGGTTCATTTTAAACGAAGTGATTGAAATAGGTCTATTATCTGTGACCTCATTTAACAATTTTCATAACAAAAATTGAGATAGAATTATAAGTTCTGTAGTGAAACAATATGCTGGAGGAATACGACGAAATCTATGCACTATTTATACAACTATTTTCTTGAGTTAAAAGTTGACATGTCTACGTTTTATTAAGTTATTCTTTTAAAGAAAAGTAAAAACTAATAGAACATATGCAGTTGATTATTTCGATAAAAAAAAATATAAAAAAACCCTAATTAGGAACATATTAGGTTCAATTCATTTTTTAAAGTAGTTATTTTCTTCAAATTCCCAATTGTTATTTTTAGAAAAATATTTCTAAAAGGAAATCAACACGCTTTAAAGATTTAATGGTTAAAATTTGATTAGTATAATGCCTTGAATTTATAAAATCAATCTGCAAGGGGATTCATATGCTCAGTATATGTATGTTTAGGAAGAAAATATAAAATTCTGTTACTTTCATCAACCTTTTTCTATAACACAGAATAACCCTGTTTCCCAACATCTTCTCTCCCTCTGCAAAACACATCATCTGCCACTTTGCATGGGATTATTTCCAGTTTTTCTTTCTACCTATGCGAATCGTTCTATGCATCAATGAAGGCGTTCTCCACTTTCATTCTGCAATCTATTTCTCCCGATTAGAAGATACATGGCGCATAAGCAGATTTATATCGATTTGGTAAATGGGTATAAAATAAAGTCAAGTAATAGAAACCTTGTTATCTTTCCAGAAATCTAGAATATGAAGGTACCGATTTTTCAGTGCATGTTTCCTACTTTCTAAAACAATTCCCTGATTCTAACCACTACAGCGGTACCAACACAAACTTAACAATTTTTATTTCTTTTTATCTCTCTCTCTCTATGACATTACATTTCTCTATCATCTACTTTTCTCCCCAAGTCTAATACGTTTTTCATTATGAAATTCTAAGATTTCTTTCTCCTTGTAATTTATTTCATTTGATATTTTCATCTTCAAATGAAAGCCTTATTTTAGGAACTTTACTGAATGCCTTCCGTCATCTTTTACAAATATAAAGTTGTTGTTTAGGAATAGTCTCATTAAACAAAATGGTATAATGTATATGATTAAAATAAAATCCTCTTAAGCAATTTTTGATTGATACATATGCAAGTAATTCGAACGTGAAAAAATTAATTGAATGATAAATATTGGAAAAAAAAAAAACCAACGCCTAATATATTATTTTTTAGCGTAAAGCAAATAGTATACAAGATACAAAACATTATGTTGTTACTCAAGTTCTGTTCTTGTTCTATTTCTCGTCGAACATTGAACACATCGGCATAGTTCAACACGTTTTTTTAAATTCATAGTTCAACACTTGAATTAATAAACTATAAACTAGTGCTTTTATTGATTTAAAGAACGATCCAGATCCTTTTTTTTTTCTTTTGGTCGAGATCCAGTTTTAGAAACATTACTTGAAAGTTGAAACATCTACAATATTTTTTTTACTAAAATAAAAGAAACATCCACAATATTTTAAGAGGACTTAACATAGGGTAAGGTTTTACTAATTTCAAACAGCAACTATATCATTGTCCTCTGAATCATTTTAGTTCATGAAGGTGGGAGCAATAGCTTTTGTATGTAGGCACATTGCACAAGGGTACATGCATAACAGATGCACAAGATAACAAGATCAGTATGGAGTAAAACAATGGACTTGCATGGCACGGAAAGGAGCTAAAAAGAATTTACTAAATATTGAAGAAAAAAAATGACTGTATAAATTCACAATTACAGCTCAAGCTAATCTACCCTATTATAGAATATGAAACGGAGCAAAAATTTAGTTAGCACACAAAACACACAACTCCCAGTCACCATCTCGGTCGGCACATTCCACTTACAGCAGAGATTTTCTGCCAAGTACCTGTTTCCCCTACTTGTTAAAGAATAATCCCTTCTTCTTTACTCTCCTTTTCTCCCCAGCCTGCAGAAGCAGAAAAATCAAAGGAAGCCTTGAATATACTCCTCAGAACTGGTTCAATATTCAATATAAAACATTTTACTCAAGAAATTAAAAAAAAAAATTGAACCAAAAAGCAGAACTAAAAAGAATACATCAACACAAATGTAGTGAAGTAATATTCTGGCTTTCCAATACAGTCCTAAGAAGTAAAGCGACAAGAGACGAAAGGAAAGGTCAGAATCATGACATTACAAAGCTCAAGATTTCAAATTAAGGGAGCTAAGGAAATCTAATTAAACAATCCCGTACTACACAAGCAGGGAATATATATAGTATATGCTAGTTATTTCTAGGTTCTACATAGGTTACAGTAGAGTTAATCGTTTACAATAATGACGGCTAAATTAAACAAAAATGATGATCTTGGGAAACCAATCCTCGAACTTTTATCTCCACCTTATTTTCCTTTGTTGTCTCTATCATTTCTAGACAGTAAGCATGAAGGCACCATGCAATAGTAGGCAAGAAAGAAACATTTAAAAGTGTTTTTAACATAATGATATGGCAAGCAAACAGAAGAGCCAAATGCAAAATAAATAAATAATAATAAAAAATCTAGCATATTAAACTCTGCCATTTATATTAATGAGTAAAGTAAGGATGAAAAATTATATACCCTTAGGATGAATAATCTCAAAGTGAGCACGATAGTGTCTCTAGCACTGCAAAAGGCGCAACATGAATAAAATTATCAAAGCAGAAGCTTAAACAGAAAATAAAAATCAAGAAATAGAGAATCACGGATGACTATTACAAATTCCAACCATTTGAAAACTTGACATGGTTACTTCTCTTGGTTAGATAAATAATTCTCTTTCCCGCTTAGAAATTAAAAAATAATGACTCCAATTGCATTGTGAGTAAATTAATATATTACAAGCTTTGTTCACTTCTCTAGTTCTCAGTACTGATAATCTTTATTGCTTGAGGTTCCACACAGAGTCGACACTAGGGAGTTTGGACCTGAACAGTAATCTTTTTTCAAAAAAATAGACTTGCTGACCATCAAGAAATACAACCTCAAATTTGTTCTAATATTATGAAGAATATATTAACCATTTGTTTGTAGAGGAAAAAAAAAAAGTAAACTATCACATTTAAAGATAAAAAAAGGTATTTGAAGTGTTCAAAGTTTTTATGTTTGAGATCAGCTTAAACTTAAAAATCAGGCCACTCGTGTGTCAACTCAACCCAGATCTATGTATTATTACTCAATAATAGTAAAACCTAAATGCATTCAAGAATTCCTCTGAAAAGTTATTCCATATCCATAAACAAATACTCACACAACACAAAAAAACAAAAAGTAAAAAGGTTTTCCAATTTTTTAAATTAGCAGATAATAGTACACAGCTAGTTAGTGGAATCATCTACAAAAGGGATTATTATTCCATTCAATACTGAAAAATTTGCACATGAAACATTTTGTATGTGCAACCTAGTTCCTTTTGTCAGTCAGCTTGTAAACAGAACGACTGTAAGAGTACTTACCCACTGGCATCTGTTGAGTTGTTTTCTGCTCTTAAAAGATGTTCAGTGCCACTAGAACCAATTATAATAAATTCTGAAATATGTCCATATGGAATCACAACCTACGGAAGTAAATGCAGAAGGGAGATAAAAATTTCAGCTAACCACTAAAGATCTTGTATTCTATAAAGTTGAAAAGATACAAATATAAACAGTTTTCAAAGGGAACCCTGCTAGTAACAATGCTAATTAACTGTCATCAAATATGACGTCTTCAAAGTGATTTCATACTCCTTATAACTTTAATGATGACAGTTATAAGGAGTATGATTAAAATAACAATGTTAATTATCTCACTTCATCAATGCTCAGAATGTTCAACAGACAAACACAATTTTGGCAATATCATACTCCTTATAACTTTAATTAAATATTTACTAAAAGTTCTATTATTGAGAAATAAACAAGGTCAAGGATTGATCTAATAGTTCAATTCATGAGCACTTTATAGTTTTCCTCAAACTGGTTCATCCAACACAACTCAAAGTTGAACAGATAATCACATATTTTCCAGTCCAACTTCACAGACATTCTGTAATTATAATCAGACAAAATATGGTTCAAGAAAACTAATATATATCATCAAAGTGATCAAACTAATTCAATTGCCATGAGCATAAACATGGCATATTGCTTTCACAATGTAATGATTATCATTCTCAACTTCAGAATGACTCCCAGAATTTGTTTTACTTTACTTCCTTAAACCAATCTATAATTTAACCAAAATCCTCAGAGAATATCAAAGAATAAAGCATCATACAGTGGTGGATGGTGAAAATTTTTCTGTGATTACAACTCCATTTGGTCCACTGCACTTGATACTGCAGCCTTCCTTCTTAATGGCCAAAGTGGCTGGTTCCCATATATCAAGATATCCAGTCTGTAATATCAAACCCAAAATTTTTTATAAAACTGTTGGGAGTTCTCTATAAAGAAGACTGATTAGTAAAGAAGATTTCAACACTGATATTTAAAGGAAACTCATAACAAATAAGAAAACTACTTTCATTGAATTACCGAAAGAGAAACTTTATATGAAGCATGGCCACTATAAAAAGCCCGCTCTATGTGGCTCCGCATTTCAGGATCTGAGAACAAATAACAAAGAGAATAACCCAATAAAACTGTTAGAAACTCACCAACATTTGAAGCCCTAAAAAGAAAGAAAAGGAGGCAACAGGAAAGCTAAATCACTTTACTGAACTCAAGACAACAAGAATGGCACATCCAAAGCAGAGAGGTTGTTTTAGATTTTTTTTTTCTTTTACTTTTAAATCCTCTCTCAGGATATCATCTCCTCATTTTTATAATATCTATCTTTCTAATAATTTTTTCTTTCACTAAATTATTTACTTTTGACACTTCAGCACAATGAATGCATAAAAACTGAAACTATGTCCCTTCCTTTTATATGCATTTGTCCACAAACAAATAAATTAATATGACATTTGCTTACCACTTAAAATTGTCCAACCACCTTAATGGCACTATATACCTTCCAAGAGCATCTAATATTTCATAAGTAGTTAATTAGTATTATAAGTAGATGTATTAGGATTAGGTTATTTTGTTATGAGTAGTCTAAATGGAGCGGACTTATTAGGGTTTTCTATGTACGTCTATATATATAGGCTTAAATATAGTTGGTCCTTATAAATGTAACACATTTATGTCCCTCCCATCAACCTCCCCTCTTTTAAAGGCTAATGAAGAGTCAACTCAGCATTCTCATGTTATTTAATTTTTTAAATATTTTATTCTTAATTATATTTTTAGTCCTTATAAATGTAGCACATTTTGTAATAAATTCTTATAAAAAATTTTATTAGGATTTAGACCCTATAATGTTAAAAAGTTCGGAGTTAGTCTCTATCATCAACTTCTCTTGACCCAGTTGGCTCATGTAGAATCAGCTCATTACTACCACATATTGCCACCTCATTTTCAATTTTATTATTTAAAATTGATATTTACATAAAAATTCCTGTCATAGTTTAAATATTTACAGAGAAGTCCTATGGAATCCTACTACTGTTCCTTCTAGTGCCTTCTTCTCCCTCTAGAATCCTACTTCTCTTCCTTCTAGTGCCTTCTTCTCCCTCTATACTTGGTTTCAAATGCTCCACCGACAAGTTTTATGCATCTACATCAGGATTCCCAACAAGATGCAGGTCCTTTAGTCCCCCACCAAGATGCTTGCTGGACTTTCCAAATCTCAAGAACAGAGGGAGAAGGAAACAGAGAGGAGTAGATATAGGTGTTAGAAGGGAAGGAGATTAGAGTTCTAGAGAATATTTTCATAAATATTTAAAAAATATTTTGATACTTGTTTGCAAATATTAATTTTAAATAAATAAAATATTAAAAAATTAAATGACATGACTATACGTGGTAATAATGTGACAGTAATGAGTTGACTTTTTGTTAGTCAGCCTAGTAGTTAACAAAAGGAAAGTTGACGGAAGAGACTAAATTCTTTTTAATATTTTAGAGATAAAATCTTAACAAAAAATTTTATAAGGATTTATCACAAAACGTGTTAAATTTATAGGGACCAAAAACATAATTAAGCCTAAAATATTTAAAAAATTAAATGATGTGTGTTGAGTCAGCTAGCTAATTCGTGTGAGAAACCCATGGAGCCAGAAGTGAAGTTGACAGCAGATGAAGTCTCATTTTCTAATCCATAAAAATACAAAAGATTGGTTAGGAAGTTGAATTACTTAAATATCACTAGTATACATATTGCTTTTCCAATGTGTTATATGTCAATTTATATCCTCTCTGAATCACACTCATTGGAAAACACTTATCCACATTGTTAAGTATTTGAAGAAGGCTCCAAGAATGGGTGGAGGTCTCTCTACAAGAACCATGGGCATTTGCAGGTGGAGGCATTTTCCGATGCTGACTGGGAAGGATCTCCAATGGACTGCAAATCTTCTATAGGATCCTGTGTTCTAGGAGAAAATTTGATTTCCTTGAAAAAGTAAGACCAGATCAAGTGCAGAAAAAAGTATAGGGCTATGGCTCTTATTACTTGTGGGCTACTATAGATTAAGCAAGTCTTAGAGGAGATGAGATTTAGCAATACTAGTTCTATGAACCTTTGACGTGACAACTAAGTTGTCATTTACATCACATTAAATTCATTTTTTCATGAAAAAACGAAACATTGAAATAGATTGTTATTTCACTCAAGAGAAGATACAAAAGAATCTTCTATCTATCTCTCATATTAAAACGGGTGATCAACTAGATGTGTTTATAAAGGCATTGAATGAGACATGTAGTGATTTTATTGATAACAAGCTAGGCATGATTAAGCTCAAGCGGGTGTTCCGAGTAATTGTATTAGGATTAGGTTATGTTGTTATGGATAGTTGTAATGGACCTGATTGCATCTTTATTTGTGTGTGTGTGTGTGTAACATAGTAGTCAATCCCAGGTAGCGATGGGGAGCAATCAACCCCATAAACACTATATGGGAGTAATGGACCTGACCATAAGGGTCTCGCTAGAAAATGTCTATACATCACATCAGAAATAGCTTGGGTTTCATCAAAGATGAAGAAAATTGGAAATAGTGATTTGCACCAGAAAGCAACGTCAGAGATGGAGGTAGAATTCGATCTCAACGTGCAAAGTTAGAAAAGAGGCACAGAGCATTGCAATGTAAAAGGGGGGCAAAATCCCAAGATTCCCCTCATAAAAAGCATTCCAACTTTCAGAGAGGGAGGACAAACTTGCCCTTTTACCCCTATTTGATATAGGGGCTGCAACACGACAACCCCAGGATAGTGGCAAGGAGCAGCTCCGTACGATCACGCCCACTATTGACTACTATGATATATGGGTCTCTACAATAGTAGGTATCCAATTCCAGTTCACTTTCTATGCTCTCCCTCTTTTTGCATCTATTTCTATAATTAGAAAATGAAACCTCATATTGAAGATGTCAGAACAATAAGGTTGTGTTTAAATCAGGAATTTAGAAGGGAAATCAAAGGAAAATAAAGACTTGTGCTAAGTCTTTCCCTTGTTTGGGAGTATTCTAAAGGGACAGAAAGGGAATAGACATTTTTTACAAGCCCTGTTTGTGTTCTCCCAAGCTTGAGGGTCTAGGGAGTTAGTATATTAGGTTAATTATGTTGGTGTTTTTAAAAGAATGTTATAATCATTTAATCATTTTAATTTAACTAACTCTCCATTTCCTCCACTTTCTAATTATTAACATCCAAACAAGGGTAAATGTTTACCCATCATTTCCTTTACCTTACCTTACCCTTCCATTGTTCTTGATCCCTTCTCTCCTAATTCTCAAACATACCCAAACTGTTATATAAATGCTTTGTGGGCTAAGAATAGAAATTTCTATCTCCTAAGTCGTAACCACCATTATGCCCTTGTATATTTGTTTTCCCTTATCAAATCTAAAAACACATGTGACAAATGATAGGAGCATAATCCACAACAATAAATTACCCTTCTGCACAACACAATAAACTCACTGAAAATTTCACTCCAAACTTGCAATCATTTGCTGTCGATTTTATAAGTTACACATAAGGCTGCAACAACTGAACATTAGAAACATTATGATACATATACTCACCACAGGTGATCTTTTTGTTATCATTGGCAAAAACCTTCACAGGTTCTCCCTACAATCATCACAGAGAATGCATCAGATTCAGTAAAAAAACAAAGACATCTAATAACCATTACTAGAAGAGTAATGAGTAACGTTAATAACACACTCTTTCTAACTCTCTCCCTCCCCCTATTATTGACTAAAATTTATTGAAAACTACAAAAATTATGTAAGTTTCACTCTTTCTCACTCTTAAATTAATGTTTCTCTCTTATACTTTTTTAGTTTTCAATAAATTTTAGCCAATAGTGAAAAGTGTGTTAGAGAATGTGTTGCTCGCATTCCTCTTACCAAAAAACCAAACTCAGTCCAACTCAATTTACAAAGTAAACATTCAAGTATTGTGTTTCAGCTTCCTTTATCTTAAATTACTTATTAAGCATAGTGCACTGTTGTGCCATTGTATTGCAGGGAAATATTCATTAAAAAAAATACAGCATAAATAACATTACAAATATTTAATATAATTCAAAACAACGAATGTATGAGAAAAAACTAAAATAAGAAAAACTTTTTTGCAACTAAAATACAAGTATACAACTATCTACACCTACTCCCAAAGTAGGCAAATTAAGCATTGCTTTCATGAATTTCAGCGAAAGAACAAAATAATGTCATCAAAAAGAACTTTTCAAACACAAACATAGACTGAATCTTAACTCGTGTCAAATATATTTTGGGTCCCCAGTCACACATTTCAGATTTCAGCAACTTCCATTTTTCACATAACAATGGGTTTGTGTAAAGGGAAATAAAGAGGTTTTTGAACAAGGGAACAGGAATGACAAAGGGAAACCTAATTTCAAAATGGGAACAGGAATCATACTAGATAAACGCAAGCCTAAACACAAATCTGATGACTTCTTGTTATGATAAGTAGGTATGCATTTGAACAAAAATTTGCAAAGAACAGAAAAATAAAACAAGAATAATGATTGAAGAAAACAAGGTAAAACAATGACAGTACCCATCTGAACTCTGAAATGTCATATGGGCTGCCGGAAGAGAACACAGCAAAATTTTTGCAGAACTGGCCAATATACTTTTCCGCAAGTGTTGAATGGATTGATTCTCTCTAAATTTCAATAATTTTTTCTATTAAAGATTTTTGCATCTTCAAACCAGATTTTTTCCATGAAATATTGCCCCCAATGCACAATAAGAATTGTGCAAGTTGTATTCACAATACCTGGCTATGAAGGTTCAATGAAGGATGGATTTATTGCAGAGGCCCATTGCCAGTTGTAAAACAACTATGGTTTTCAGAAGTGTATAGTTTATCCTCTGGTAACTTTTTTTGGCTCTCAAATTAATAAGATCTATAAGAGAGATATGACTTGTGTGCAGTGTAGAGTAAGCAAAATAATGCCAAGTAAAAGATGTTAATGATACCAACAATGACAAAATACTTGTTTATGTTATTTGATGAATAAAGTAATATCCATGCCTTTACCCAAAAATATAATACAAGATATATATGTTGCTTCTAAGACTTTAAATGACTAACCCTATGAAAATCTAATAAAGTCTTTGATGTCTCCTCATGCCAGATAATCATGAACCAACCCCACCCCTGCGTGCGCAAAACCAATATGATTCCAGGGCATTATTAAGTATAATGTTCTTGGAATAAAAGACAGATTTAGTAACTCTTCTTTCATAACCAGGTGCATTTGGGCATTCACAGAACAAGTAGAATTAAATAGACAGGGAATTTAATGCAGGTTGACCTCCAGTGAACAATAGGACAATGTCCACAGGCAACAACAGAGACAGGAAATATTCAGAGGTCAACGAGTAGCTGTTCAATGCTCATACCCAAATCCTCATTATGATCAATGAAGTGTATAAAGACTAGTTGCTCATTTCCACCATAAAATTCTTAATTCCTTGTTGAGTTGAACAACTGGTTTAGGGGGACAAGTCACAAGTCATCAGGCAAAGTTGGTAACTGAATACAAGCCACTATATGAAAATTCACTCATTTTTTGCATACATGTACAAGACTGCCATCATAGTAAGTGAAAAATACCTTGCGCTTCCTGTTATCCAGAGGCTGGACTTCAATGGCAAGTAATGTATCAACATCATCAGCAGTGACAAGATAGTTGGGTTGCTTTGCCCCTATATTTTGGACAAGTCATGATTGAGTTGATGACTTAAGAATGGAGGAAAGGAAGGACATAGTCTTAAGCAGAAGTATAACAATACCATCAATATAATTGAAGGAACCATCTTCCAAATGCCGAATCCACTGGCAATCCAACATCAAATGCTTAAGACAGAATCATACATTAATACCATATAATGAAAAGCACTTTAAGGAAATAAAGCAACAATAAACAGGTTTCAAATTATACGCAAATAAAATGCACCTCAAAATTACAACTAGTAGTGCCATTAATGGAGTAACCGCATGCTTGAAGTTCCCTTCCTGGAAAGGCTTCCCCTGAAATTTGAAGGCCCTCTATAGCTGGCAATGGATCATCATCTGCACCTGCAGTATGATTTATTCAACTTGGAATAGTAACAGCAAAGCTCTGATTGTATGGTAAATTTCAAAATCAGATTAGTTCTTACCCTCAGAAAATGAAGAAGAAGGCTCTTCAAGAACCGGTGGTAAATAAGGAGAATATGAAGAACTAGGATCATCAACTGTGTTTGCATAAGGAGGGTTGCCTGAACTCCAGTTAGCAGATGTTTCTCTCTCGTTCTGGGTTCCATCTCCATCGGGATAATCAAATTCACTGTTGCTCACAGGTTCATGAAATGAGACGTGTTTGTTAGTCATCTCCTCCCCATAATGTGTAGGATGAGTATCACCTTGAGTAACAACCAGATGGGTGGATACATCATGGGCTGAAGAATTCCTATAAATGGCCAATATATTAGAGCAAAGATGTCATTTTCTAACTGCCCAAACATGTCAAATTTTATCACTCCTTTAGCATTAATATGAATGACAACAACAAAAATTTCAGCCTTATTTTGGTGCACATAGCTCTACTTAAGGAATTGATGACATAGCAGATTAATAAAAACAGGGACGAGAATCATACAAATTAGCACTTAGTATTTTTAATAAAAGACCAACTGATACACAGAATATATATGAATATATAAATAAATAAAAAATTAACTAGGTGTCAGAGACCCTATGGATCCAGGCGATCTGAAATAAGCCACAGGAGATAAACCAAGTTTATCTCAATCAATCAAGAATCAATTTTATCTACACATTAGAACACCCAAGCAATCAGGATTCAGAACTATATCCCTTCCTGAGCACCCATTGCTAGTGAAAGTCAGTATCGATTAACCCACCCGTTTCAAGTAGATTTTCTCCAACAGGCAACAATGAGGAAGTGAGCTACCACAACCGAACTCTACATGGAAAACTTTATGAAAGCTTTTATCTAAGCCAATTATACAATGATCTACTGTTAGGAAGCATCATGAACCATTAGTAGGCACTTGGCAAAATTACAGATTTAACATGAGGCTTAAATGTCCGCCTATAATGATCTATAACTGGCAGGACAGATAAATGTACATATCACCTTAGCAAGGACAGATAAATGGCAAACAAAATCTTCATTTGAGTACCCTGATAATTGAATATCCGCAAAACACGACTTTCCTTTTATAAGACAGTTATTTCAAGGATAATAGGAAGTTTAGTCATCCTAACTATTCACAGATAGCCATGACAGTAACATCATTGGATTAGATAATGATGGAGACAAACAATGCATGTCAGTATCACATTATGGACAGATTAAAGGGGCAATCTCCCATGTAAACATTAGTGCCAAAGCATTATGGAAGAGAACAACATTGCATGTATGAGGACCACTTTAACAAAGATTCCATGAAAACAGAACCCACCAATACATTCAGTTCAGAGTAGCAGTCTCCATTTGATCAGGCTCACCTGCTTGCAAGAGGTGAATATCTCCCTGAATCATCAGCATCAACATTTGTTGCCACCCCACCACCCAAGCCATTCTGGTGGCGATTCAAAATATCCCAATCAGTGCCTGTCTGAGCATCATCTGAGACCTGAGTCTTTACTTGAGGGTACATATGCTGAGGTACCAGTTCAAGGCCATTTTTATTCTGATAAAAAAAAATCAACTATTTAGAATTTTATTTAGGCATATATGACAAGAAATGGAACAAATTCACAAAATCAACATACTGAAGTTACCAAAGGTGCACCAATTGAGTGAGAGGGTGATTGTATGGCAACATTTGGATGGTTCATATCTGAACGCCAAGGCGTCAGTTGATATTGTGATTCCTTTAGCTTTGACTGTAACAAAGAACAGATATAGCCAATAAACCCAATTGCTCCAGCAAAAAGGGATAGTAAACATTCCAAAATTTCAACAATATATGGTCCAATTATAAGCACCAATGCTATTGAATTATCCATTATCCACATATCAAATCATATTAGTACATGTAGGAATGGAAAGCACCCAAGTATCTGCTCAACATACCTCAGTGAGAAGAAGTTTTTCCTGTAAATGTTTAAACAAAACCTGCCAAAAAGTAGAATTCACTGTGAATTCAAGATTGGAGAGGTTCTAGAATTTGAAAATAAACAAAGGGACACTTTCAGTATCATCAATCTGAACTTTTATACAGAGATTCAAATGTGTGGTACAATCTAAAATTTTTTACCCCGCAAAACAAATAATGGAAGAGAAAGCCACACTTCTGCAGAATTTAACCATTTCAACAAAATTCCCAAATCAATAGAGAAGATTGAAACAAATAGTTCCCAGTAGAAAAAACACACACCGTGTATTGCACGATTTTTAAATGAGAAGTTGAGAGAAACAACGGAAGAAGGTGGGGGGTACAATTTAAAAATTTTACCCCGCAAAACAAATAATGGAAGAGAAAACGAACACTTTTGCAAAATTTAATGATTTCAACAAATTTCCCAAATCAATAGAGTAGATTGAAACAAATGTCTCCCAGTAAAAAAAAAATAACAGTGTATGACAATTTTTAAATAACATCATCGGACATGTCAAGATACAAGAAAGGGAAAACCTCTGCCTTCCATGGCAGTTATCTTCACTTATGACTTATGAGCAGGAAAATTGAGTTTTTGAAATAAAAAAAACACACAAGTTTGAATTATCTTATTTGCAGTTTTGCAGTTGAACTCAAAAAAGCTTCAGCTTAATAAAACTCTGGTTTTTAGCATTTATTGTAGCAATTTTCATCACTGTCTATTGGTATTCAAGTATATGATCCACAGTCCTCTTTTTAGTGTAACAAGTCTTTCTTTTGATTTAGTAATGCTTATTAAACATCTGTTATTGGTACTCTTCTATAACACTATGACTGATAATTGTTTTAAATTGAGTATCAAAAGTTTTTTATTGTGTACAACAATAACCAAGCCTTATCTCACTAGTGAAGCTCAAAAGTTTTTTATTGTATGAAATTTCAAAATTATTAGCATTATTAATTATATATCTTTTATAAATCTTTGAAATTTTTTTATTATACCACTATCTTTGCTGCAGCAGATGCTATAGCATTTTTTGGGACAACCATTCTTCACCATGTTCTGCCATTGACTACTATGGTTTCACACAGATCTGAAACAGGTCTTCTGGTACCTGATAGAAAACAACCTAAAAAATTCTGCACCCCCTTTGATTCATAGAATGGCACCTGTAGGTTAGATTGAATCATGCAAATCTGTTAGGATCCCAATTGCAAGGTATGAGACTTGAGTCCCACACTGAAAGTATGGGATTCTAGAGTGAAGTTGCTCTCTAACTACAATGGCTAGCTTTTGCAGAGTGCTTCTCTCAAAGCTCTTATCAAAATGACACTTATGACCTAGTTTGGATTAACTTCTCAACTAAGTTCTTATGAGAGGCAAAAATAAGAAAATAAAATGAATCAAATTTTTCTTATAAGTTAAAATTAACTTAAGCTTTTTTACTTTCTTAGAAGTTTTTTTAACTTACTTCTTCAAAACATGAGATGCATTGCATAAATTGATTTTTAACTTATGAGAAGTTTAGTTATTCTACTCCTTATTTCTTCTCCTATAAGTACTTCTGCATAAACTTACCCAAACTGAACTTATGTTGATAAAATTGAGTTATACATAACATGAATACAGAACTCAATCCCCATAAATTTGGCAACACTGTTTTAGAAGCTAAAATTGCCATTTTGAGCAACAGAATGTTGCCAGAATTTTGGAAGTGAGATGTTTTATGTCATGACAATAAATTCTTTTATGAGTTTACTGGGAAATCAGTAAGCAACCCAAATGGCAAAAATTATGATCGTTTTAAATTTCTCTGCTTTCTATTTCAAAAGCTTGATACCAGTCTCATTAGAGCTTTTATGGTCACAAAATGCTGCTGCATGGAAGTTTTGAGTTTCCATGGGGTTGTTACATAATGATTCAAATCTGCACAATGCTGCAACTCGAATAGGAATACTTGGTTTCAAATTCATTTGAGATTCTTTTTAAATGCTTGATTCAAAAGATCACATGGTAGAGTATGGTACTGGAAAATGCTACTGAACATGTAAAACAGGACCTTCTCTTGAAAAAAAAAAAAAAGAGAGAAAGATACTACAAATCAACAAAACCAACTGCCCACTCCTGTCTTATATGTAGAAATTTTTTTCATCATTTTCAACTAAATATATTAAATAAAATGAGGAAAAGGGAAGTGAGATTCATTGGATATCTTTGACTACTCTTCTGACAAGTCTTATTTTACCACAGTTTAGTTACAAAGGTTTTTCCTCTTTACAACATTCTCATGAGAGAGGGGGAGGGATGAAAATATTGAAATTTGAAATAATTCCAGGTGTTGGAAGCAGATCAAAGCTGACCTTGACATTGCTAACAATTGATTGGGCATCAGGAACAGGCGGCTGCAGGGAGTATTCTGCAAGAAGAGGCAGCAAAGAAGAAACAAATGTTGATCTTTCTTGCTGTGCATCCTGACAAGGAAAAGAAAATGCGAAAAAATTACAATTCATTCTGAAAAACACAACAGAACAACCTAGGAAATTCATTGAAAAATATTTAAGCAGCCAAATTATTGTGCAAAATTATACATGCACCATACCAATAACAAGAAGAAACAAGTAGGAAAAATAACCTGCAATGCATATGTAAGACGTATATTTTCTTCAATTATGTCTTGTCGATACGATAAAGCTTTTGATGCAGCATCCACAAGATCTTGTTGCTGCTGATCAAAGGCCTAGTAGAAATATTACAAATAATTTATTTAAGAGTGTAATACCAATCCCAGAAAAGAAGAAGTGCAGAACCGAAAGATGCTTAAGGAATTTCACAAGTACTTCAAAATAATTCATACATACCAGACGCATATATGCAATGCGCTTTTCTAAGACAAATTTTTCGTTGCGTATTTGTGCTTCCTAACATGGAAAAATCATCAGTCAAAAAAATGGACATTTGAGGCAAAATACTCTACAGATCTATGAATCACCACTTAAAATGATACCTTTACAGAATAATCAGCAAGATGTTTCCTTAATAGAATGATCTCCTCTTCATGTTCCCGAATCTTAATGGCCAGATCCTAAATAGATACTCCATAAATATCAACCTCTGATTAAAGACAATTTTAGAACAAAAAGTAGTACCTGCTTCAATAAGGTATTATTATTATTCGTTTCAGCCATTGACATCAATCCTTGCCGAGGTGAATTAAATCGGTGATCAAGATCTCCTTCTTGTAGATGCCTATGAAAAATACAGGTTTCTAAAATTACACAACATATTCATAGAAAAAATACACGAAATCAACATTGTAGCTCTGACATTATAATTGATATTTGAATTCACATACCTGCTTGGAGAGACTGACCTTGTAGATGGTGAAGACAACTGAGAGTGGCCAGTATTATCCATAGGTTGCTGATCATTTGGCTGTGCTCTCAATGTCCCATTTATTTGACTGTTCTCAGAATGGTTACCTGCATTGCTTCTGGCTGCATCCATTTGAAGTTAATCAAGAGGCAAGTAGTTTAACAGTTAGATCAGCTAGGAATGAAAGGCCCCTGCAATAGGGAGCATATTTACTCAATCACCTGGAGATGGAACTGATTGATGAGCTTCATAAGATCCATGGCCCTGCTCTTTCCATGGAGCAACAGAACGTACTTTTTGATCCACTGATTCTCCTTGCCTCTGTTCAAAAGTGTCAATTGCATAATGAGATTTTGGTAGTTTTCATTTTCATTACTGTTTTTCAAGAAAGTCTATCATATTCCTCTTAAATAATATTTTGTCTTTTATTTAAAAAAATACATTTTCCCCATCTCATAAATCATGGAAAGAGGATAAAATGTTCATCAAAATTAAGAGGATAAAGTTTTAAAAAAGTTCATGGAAAAATATCACTTTATGGAGCAGACATTTTGCCTTGGCAGATGAAGCACATAATTCAGTGCCTGTTCGGGAAAGCCTTTTTAAAGGAAAGTTACTTAGATTTCAAAAATTCCCTCAGAAATCTGCAAAAGAACAATATATTATAACTTCAAAATAAACTGAACTAAACATGCACTCAATTCTTTGATCTGCTTTATGCCATTACTGCTTACGCTTGGAAATAAGCACTTCTACAAATACAAGAACTACTCCCAAAATGGTAACAGTTTCTGCCCCTTGCTCCAAACAGCTATTGTCAAGTTCACATTGTTTCTTTGTTGTTCTACAAAAGTAAACATCTGAAGTCCACGCGGGCTCAATAAAATCATCACTGCCCATCTAGGGTCCCATCTTACAAAATGAATAGGATTTTGATTGTATAAGATTCAAGCGGGGTGAATGAAATTTGAAATTTAAAAATGCTCCAGAGTTCATATGCAATTTGTGATCACAAACCACCCACCAGACTCCAAGGAAAATTCAACCAAAGATCTATAAGACCAGCATTAGTGATGCTCTAACATAGTGAAATTTGAGCAGTGAAGAACAACAGCAAAAAAATAAATAAATGTAGTGTATATAAGAATGTCAATGTGGATGCAGGGATGATTGGACATACAAGAAAATATAAGTATACAAACAACCATATCCAAGAGTAGAGACTAGAGAATATTCCAATTTTCTCTCAGATAGGATGAGCCCCTTATTAAGCTAATAAGCTAATCATTTAATTAAATAAATTTCAATGTTCAAAATTGCCTTTATTATTTGAAGTTGAACAGAATATCCATAAAATTAAAATATAATCCTGTTGAGGGAGGAGTGGGAAGCTTAGCGTCATTAAAGTTTCTTTTTCCTCTTCATTTATATGTTTTCATTTTACACTGATTAGGATCAAATATCCTCCAAACTCTTTGCAATCATCTTCTCAGAGCTAATGAACTTCTTTCTTATTACAAAACACACACACACACATGTACAGTATTGGCACCATTCTCAAGCACCCATTTGCATTTCCAAATATTAAAAGTCTAAGATTGCCCTAGAATCTATCTCATGGATACCCAGAAACCAAATAGTGTCCTCAGTTCCACTAAAAATGCTCCAGTTAGCAATTCCTACCATATTAGTTAGTAAAACGAAATTTTGATTTAACGAACCAAACAATCAAATGTTAAAAAAAAAAAAATACAAAAGAGGGTCCATATTTTAACATAGACAAAATCAATATGCGCTAATTCAAGCAGATGCCATTACAGAACTTACATATTTTTCCAGTTCCTGAATTTTACTCAGAAGTTCAGACCTAAGCCGATTATTCTCTTCTACCTGTCAAAAGAAACGTGTTGCATCATTATTATCCTATCCAAAACAATAAGACATGAAGGAAGCTACCATTTCACTATATCAAAGAGAATCTTCAATTGTATATGACAGTAACATTTTCCTTTACGGACAGAACAGAAGTTAAAACCTCATTGGTGAGAGCAATCGAACCAGAAGAGAGGAAGCAAGAAAGGAGGACTACCAACCAGGTCCACATAAATATTATCAAAGACAAGTCATTCTCTATTCCTACTATAAAGGTTCAGAATATCTCATGGACCAAATTTGAGCATAAAAGTATATCCAGTTTCTCTTTTCGCTAGCTAAATGCGTGTCAGAAATACATGCACCAAGCAAGCACCACCAGACATAACACTATTAAATAAGCCATAATCAAAACATTGAAAACCCCAACCGTGTGGCAACACAAATTAATCACAAAACTGCATATGCAAACATTGAACAATCACCATACAAAATCAATCATCATTAACGGTTGCAACAGAACACGTGTTGAAAGTTGAAACCAAAGTACCTGTTGCTTAATAGTGGCCTCGGCAGCTTCAACAGCCTTCATGACCTGATACAAGTTATCGTTGTTGTTAGAAGAGAAGTTAGATTGATCATGGACATGTTGACCGTGCTGGTTAATGCTTAAGCCAGAGAATTTCTCGGCCAATTTCCCATCGTGACCATTCTCCATGCCCTTCCTCTCCAAGCACCCCCTAAAAAGCAAAACCCACTAAGGATCACACTCCCAAATCAATCACCAAATATCATGAGCCTACACAACTAGCTAGGGTTACTTTCAATTTATAATCTTCACGAGCCACTCGAAACACTCCCACAACCGCACCCCTTCTTTCGTTAAAACAACCGTTCCTCGTCGCTATCGACAAGCGATTCCAACCCTCGCAAACGCCAATAAAAAACCAATCGCGGCATAAAAAAATCAATCGCGTGACCCGAAATCTGAAGCGAAAATACTGGGAATCGAGGGAGAAGAAGGTGAGGAAATTGAATTGGGAATGAAAGGAGGGTTTCAATTGGTATCGAGGTTGGAAGAGTTTAAAAAAGAAATGGAAGACTTTGAAACCCTAAAATAAGTATTAAGAAGCAAAAACAACGACACAAAAAAACAAAAGGGTTGAGAAAATGAAGAGGAGAGTGATGAATGTGATGGTATGAATACGAAGGATAGAAGAATGTGGTCACTGTGGTGTGGTCAAGTGCGCGTGGTGGGTCTTCGGTCGTAGGATTCATTCATGGGATTGGTGGTTTCAAATTAGTTTAGTTTTAACCAAAGGTTTGAGTTGGCATTGTCTTCTATTTACAATATAAAATAATATTATTTCATAAAAAAAAAAAAAAAACTCTTAATTAGACCCCTTCTTGTTCTTTTCTTTATTCTCTCTCCCTTCTATTTGTCTGCTTAATGAATGCATACCATCTATTTTGGCTCAACTCAATTGGCTCCTTCCTTTCTTTCTCTCTCTTGTGATTACAATGATTTTTTCCGCAAATTAATTTGATGGAAATTATCATCATACTTCCTTTGGAGTGAAGTACAATCCACGACTTCAATATTATTTTCTTTTCTTTTTTATTTAAGTGGTTCCATTTTTTTCATTATATTTTCCCTGTTTTTCAGATAATTGTTTTTGAGTGTGTTTTGGTAGGTATGACAATATTATTTTGTTTGTTTCGCAATTATAAATTATGCGTGATGTATGTATGCCTTTTTTTTTTTAAGAATTGGGTTTGGTTTTGACAATTCCCTTCATAGAATATTATGTTCTGACATTCGAATTTTGCTTTCTTTTTTCTGGGTCTTTCTTTTGTTTTTGGTATATGTTTATTATCTTGCTTTGGTTTTAGTAGTCTTGTGTTCTTAATCAGTTGACCTTTAGGCAGGTGGTGAGTTTTGGTGTAAGTTTGCTCTATTTTTTCGTAGTGGAATTGACTCAAGACAATGTAATTTTTCTTTGATTTATTGTTTTTTAAGCCAGTTTAAGTACTCAATGTAATTAAAAATTTTAACATGACAAAGCATTAATCTATGTTACAATAAATTAACAGCAGAATGTATATCACACAATAAAATAACTAATAACATTTATATTTAAATCTAAAAATTGAATACACTAATTTTAATAATATTTATATAATTTATTGAACTAATTCAAAGATAACTTCTTTAAAAGACTACTAATAATTTAAATTTTAAGTAATTATTTCTGTGAACCCAATTTTTGAAAGACTAATATACACTTATGATTTTAAAATATCACATTAATTTATATATATATATATATATATATATATATATATATATATGTATATACACAATAGCATAAAAATTTTTTTACATGATTATAAGAAGATATAAGGGCTTTGATATTTTAGTAAGAATGCTAATACACATAACTTACAAATTCAAAATTTATCCAATTAGTTAATGAATCTAATTGAAACATATTGACAGACTTTTATATTAGTATTTAGTTATGAATTATGATAGTAGTAAAATTAATTTTAAAATGTTTTGTAGTTAATTAATTGTATAAAAATTTTACACTAATAATATATTAAAATTAAACTCTTAATTAATTAATTAATTAATGATAACAAGAGAAATGGACGAAAAAAATTCTGAAGACAAATTTATAATCGTTATTTCGTCAAATTTTGTACTATTTTTTTAATATTAAAAACTTTATAATACAGAAAAGTCATTGTAATGTCTAAAAACTAGTCTTTTATAACAAAATGGTCTTGTAAATTAATGTGTTAAAAAATTTAAGTAAAAAGTAATAAATATTTTTACAAAAGTTATATTAAGAATATATTAAAATTTATAATAACATTACATTAATAATAATTGGTATAATTTTATTAAAAATTTAAAGAATATAAATACTTTTAAATTTAGTTAAAACACACTGATACTTTTTTAACACTATTATCTAATTATAAATTATCATGTATTCACAATACATAAAAATTGGGGTCCAGTTCCAACAAGATTGAGATATCTTGTTGCAAACCAAAATATTCAGGAAATATAATATATGCTAATAAACTAGGGAGGTTAAAAGCACAAAAATGAAAAAGGGAAAAGGAAGGCGAAAACATTGGTGGGCTTTGGATATTTTGGCGGAAGACTTGTCTTAATCTCACACACTCTGTTACACACAAACTGTTAGTTTTTTTGCCTTTTCTTTTTGGCTTCAATTTGGAAGGAATAATTTCATTTTATTTATTCTAAATTTGAATGTCTTCAGTTTTAGTATGAAATTGGTAAACGAAATAATGCACCATTTTCCGTGATTTTTTTCTTTTAATTTTCATATTTCATGTCGACCTACTGAAGTTTCATGCGTTGCATGTACGTGATTTTTGTTCGTTAAATTAAGATAGGTTTTATGTGATGCATTTTTGGCATTTCTAATATTCATGCATCGAAGGTATGGCATGTTACAAATTACCAACTATTGTGATGCCGGTTTAGGTTTTTGTGTGATTCTGTTCTTGAGATTTGGTTTTGTGAGATTTGGAAAATTTAAAACTTGAATGACAGGGACGCTCATAGCAAAGCTTTTCTACAGTGATTTGATTTCATCTTTATCAGAAAGATGTATTTCGTTATGGTCTGAAGTACCTTCAGAGTTTGTGAAGTGGTCATATTCGGTCTTTCTTTATTGAAGAATGGAATTTAGAAACTCACGAGACAAGATGTAGATATTAAAAATTATATTATGGTTGAGAAGGTCCTTGGTGGGTAGCTGGAGGATTCAAGAGTTCTTAAAGGAGTTATGATGAACAAAGATGTGGTTGCCCCTGGCAAAATGAAGAGAGAGATTGTTAATCCACATGTCATTCTTCTTGATTGTCCCCTTGAGTGTAAAAAAGGTGAAAATCAAACAAATGCTGAACTGCTCAAGGAAGAAGGCTGGAGCCTCTTGTTGAAAATGGAGGAAGAATACATCGAGGAGCTCTGCATGCAGATATTGAAGTTTAAACCAGATTTGGTGATAACAGAGAACGGATTTAGTGATTTGGCAAGCCATTTTCTGAGTAAGCATGGAGTTGGTGCAATCAGAAGGCTGAGAAAAACTGATAATAGTAGAATTGCAAAGGCATGTGGTGCTGTTATAGTGAACAAACCAGATGAATTACAGGAATCTGATGTTGGTGCTGGTGCTGGTGCTGGGTCATTTGAAGTAAAGAAAACCGGAGATGAAATTTTTGCATTTATTGTTGAATGCAAAGACCCTAAGGCTTGTACTGTATTATTGAGGGCTGCTAGCAAGGATCTCTTAAAAGAAGTTGAAAACAACCTCCAGGTAAGCTGTTGATTTCTACTGAGAGCTTGCAAATTTGATCACTGCTTCCTGAATTTCTTTTGTGTCAGGAGGCCATGTCTGTAGCAAGGAACATAAAAAATCCAAAACTTGTTCCTGGAGGTGGTGCTACAGTTTTGACTGTATCAGCAACTTTGAAGCAGAAGAGTTCATCTGTTCGAGGCAAAGAGAAGGCAAGTATTATTGACTCAATGGGTCAGTAATATACAACTTTTTCCAAGGTGTACTAGTTCTATTTTCCATCTCATGGCAGTAGTTAACTCTGATTCTAACTTTCATATTCTTGTTGACTAACAGTGGCCTTATGCCATTGCTTTTGAGGCAATAACCCCGTACTTTAGGCACAAAATTATGGAGTAAATGTCATCCGGACTATGACTGCACAGATAGAAATATTTTGGGACTGGTCGAATCTGTGTGCGCTATGGCTTAAGCTATGAGGCTGTGATACCAAGATAGAAATATGGCAGCGGGAATAATTTTCATATATTCTCAATGATACTGAGTACAATATATATATACAACTTTGGAGAAACAGAATAAGGTTACAAACTAACACTGATGATAATGTTGTTAAGGATTTGAATCACTAGAGTTATTATCCTTTGCTGCCAGTATCTCGTTACTTCTCTTTCCTTAACTTGCACTACAAGGAAAAGTAAGAATTTCGTAAGTACATTTGCAGATGACACTTTCTCTGATTATGTTTAACATTGTGCTTTTGGAATTATAGCATGCAAATGGGGAAAATGCATGGATTGGCAAGATGGAAATACTGGTGCCATCACTGACATGAAAGAGTGCAAGGTGCTTTTATTTTCTTTTATTTGTAAATCATTCAAATGATTCCGAAATCCACCAATTATGCTTTTGCTCCCCAGAGTCACCTCATTTTAGAATTGAATCTAAGTATCTAGCACATTTCAGTTAGTCACAGTGAATAAAATCTTTTTGTATTTCCCATTATTGATTCCCTCCCCCACTAATACAAGATTCTACATTCGCTATATCTCATTTAAAGTAATGTACAGATTCTTGATTAGCTTGATAAGCACATGAGAATGAATGAACTATAAAGATGTTTTGTTCTATATGATTTTAGATCTGGGATGCATACAATGTCAAGGCACAAACATTTTAGACTTCAATCGAAGCTGCTTGCATGCTTCTACGCATTGATGATGTTGTGAGTGGGATCAAGAGGAGGCAGGCCCCTAGAGCAGGCCGCGCGCATTCATAGCCTATGATCGAGACTGAGGCAGATTTGGAAGGTGGCGTTGCTTTTGACTTCTTGGTTATGAAATCAATTTGTATATGTGAAACTTCAACACTCAAGTATCGGTTTTTGTACTATATGGACACGCTAAGCGCGGAATACGATGACTTCATTCCTGGAACTGGCACTTGGGTCCAGGATATTTATTTAGCAAGTAATATTGGCTAGCATTAACAAGAAACATGTTAACAGCTATGTTTCCTCAAGAGTTGACAATTTAATTGAAAATTAGAAATGTAAAATGTATTAATTTTTTAGATTTTTTTTCAAATAACTCTGTTAGCATATTGAAATTATGCATTAGTTGACAAAAGAGAACCACTTTTTAAAAGGAAAAAACTTGAAACAATAAGCTTTACTTTTATTTTAGTGAAAACCATTCAATTTTATGTTAATTTATCTTTCAAAAAGAATTAATACAATTTAGTCCCTGCAAATACTAACTTGTATTACTACAGTCCTTGAATGTATGTATGTATGTATGCATAAATTTATCTTTAAAAGTATTTACTTGCTAATATTTATTCAGCTAACTTGTCAATTTGTAAACAATTTCATCTGTTAGATGGCTAATTTTAATATAACTGAAAAATTTTAGGGACCAAAACACATATTATAACAATTACCAAACTGTATATTAACTCTTAATAGAAAACAAATAAACAGACTGCTCCATCTATGCTAATGCTTTGTAATAAGTAAGTGATTACTTCCAATTGAACCGAGGCTTTATTAAAAATAGTTTATTTGTGCCACCATGAGAGCCTATGTAACATTAGAGCACCCATATCTCGTCTTTGATTTATGGATGACAACAAAAATTGAAATAAAAAAATATCACATACAGTTAATGAAAAACCAAAACCAAAATTTTGTATTGACATGTGTTCATGCTTTAGAAGATAAACTATCATAGAAACTGTCTACCTAGGAAAAACAAACTATCACCAAAGTAAAATATCTTGATAATTAGCAGAACATCGTATGAAAAGTGAAAATACCATCACCAAAATTTAGACATTAGCTATCAATGAGCGATTTCCTCATCTCATCCACAATGGCAGTAGGCTGGGCTTCCCTCAGCTTGAAAACACTCTCAATCACAGAGAGCTCTGTTGCTGTGGTGTCTGAACCACAAAATGCTGTCCTATCATTTACTGTCAAATTACCAAGTCTTACCATACGTGACAGCAAACTTTTCAATGAAATTCTGTATGGTTTTGAAGAAACTATTTACAGTTTAACAGGAGTATTGAGTAGTGGTCATAACTCAACCTAAAATTTTAAGTGATCAGATTCAAAGTGACACGTACTCGATATGGGACAGCCTGGCTACTTCTCTATTCAGCAACCATACTTTACATGCAAATATGAGTTTCTCTTCAAATCAATTTCCAATCCTGAATAGGTATATGAAATTAGCATAGGAAAGTAAACCTACAATCTATAATATGAAATTAGCAGAGTGTGTGTGAGGGCCACATGGTCATTGCATGATATACAATTTCCCAGAGCAGATAATCTTTCTTCTATGTGCTGAACAACAACTTGATCAGGTAGACTGTTTCTCAAATGATGAAGTTCTTCAGCAATAGCCATGGAAAAAAAATCAAGAACCGCTAGTCAGTACAATATCACAAATGATGCTGAGTACTATGTCATCAACAAAGATGAATAGCATGACATTTGAATAGCACCAAATCATACTACAATAAAAATAAACAACATAATAATAAAAATCACCTTGGTCAGTTGTGGTATGGGGCAAGAGAAGCCCGTTCTTATTTCCTGCAAACCGATAGAGAGAAAACTAATAAGGCAATAGATCTATATCTAATAAATGGTAAACCAATAAATCGAAGAAACTGCAGTAACCATCTCTTTATTCTTTTACTAAAGGAAAAAAAATTGTCGCATGCAGAAAAAAATACATGGAGCCATTTCTTAACAGCGTTGATATTGTCCAAGAGAAGGATTGATACTTGTTAAGATTTTAAAAAAGGGGAAAAAGCTTTACCAACACAAAGACTACCAAGAATACCAGTGCCACCAATGGAGGTTTTGACCACAGGGACAAAATCAGCTAACACAGCCTCAAATGCACTGTATCAAGCAACACATTAAATTTATTCCTCTGGAAAACCGTTATAGCAATTTCAATCCATTTGAAACCAATTGCAAAAAATTTAAAATGTATTAGGGAACATATTTTCACTAGTCCAAAATGAATGAAAACCTGCAGAAGTTTTCAGAACCTCCAATGGGAATAAAACAATAAGCATTGGTAAGTTTTGAGAAAACTCCAACTTCACAAGAATTCTCAAACTGAAGTCCTGCAGGAAATCCAAAATCATCAAGTTTGATTAATTTTTTTCTTAAATAAATGTTTTGCACAAAAGATGACCTCATAGCAATAGATTAGATATATTAATTCATTAAACAATAACTGATATGAGCAAATTCCTTAGAAAATGCAGATTAGACAACAGTGAAATTTAAATGTCTCATCTCTTATTAATTGCCATGTCAGCATTGACAAAAATATGTGTGTTAGATTATTTTAATAATCTTATTATTATGGCTTATGTAACTTATAGCATGAATCTAATTAATGATTTAATGTGATGGTGGTTAAATATAAAATATATAGTCATAAAAGGTATAATTGTAAATACAATTATAAGGAAACATTCCCCTCTCCCTTCAGATAAATAAAAGAACGGTTACCAAATAGCGGTTACGGTATTCTCTATTTTCTATCACTTTCACGGTCTCTAAGTGTGCTCACGGTAATTGCAAAAAAGGCATTTTTCCTCAACCATCTGAGAGGAGTTAAAAGAAGAAGGAAGAGTTGGAAAAAATACAAAGAGCTTAACGATATCAAAGAGAGAGGTAACATCGAGTAACAATAGATTCAGGTCAGTGTTCTCTAAACCCTTAATTGTATGAGAACCATGTATTGCGTTGGAATAACAACGTAATTCAAGATCTAATGGCAATGATAATTTCATAATAGTCATATCAAATGGAAATTACATAATGGAATAAGAAAATTCTAACAATTGGTATCAGAGTCAGGTTGTGAATTTCGTTGAATCTCCATAAGAGATTGGTTCTCCATTAAAGTTTTCCCAAAATTACATGAACCCTAGGTATTTTATGTGATGGATTGACATAATTTTGATGTTAAACAATTGTTTTTGATTCAATAATTGAAAACCTTAAGGTTTTGGAAGTTAGAAACATTGAATTTTAAATCTGTAATATGAGCAGGGCCATATATCAGGGAGTGGGGCCATGCATCAGGGAGTAGGGCTACGCATCAGAAACAAGCACAGCCATGCTTCAACAAAGCATGGCCTTACATAATGGAAGCACGGCCTTGCATATTGTAAGCACGGCCATGCATCATAAAGCACAGCCATGCTTCAGGAAGTAGGGGCATGCATCAGAAATAAGCATGGCCTTGCTTCATCGAAACAAGGCCTTGCATAATGGAAGCACGACCTTGTATATTGTAAGTACAGCCATGCATCATGAAGCACAACCATGCTTCAGGAAGCAGGGGCATGCATAAAAAATGAACATGGTCTTGCTTCATCAAAGCACGGCCATGCATCAAGTAAAAGCACGATTGTGCATAGTAATTTTACGGCAGAATAAGGAATATAATTCATAAAATATATAGATAATTTTAGAATTACATCAAAGTAAATTTTACTCACCAAAGTGATTAAATTCTCAAGTTAATTAATTCTAAATTATATTATCATAATGAGAACTTCACAATTTAATGCTTAATTTTAAGGGTAGCTTGTTAGTCACCAAAGTGACCTAGTTTTAAAAGTTCATTAAGTATTTAATTGTATGTTGTAAATTGTTCAAAATTGTTTGATGCTATATAGTAACATAAAGGGTAAACAATTTAGCTCATTAATTATAACGCTAGGAGATCGCCCAAAGGTGGATCATTGCATATGATTAATGACATTAAGGAGACATGTAAGCACTCTATAATATGTTTGTATATCCAAAGATGACTTGTATATTGGTTTAAGTGACTAATTGTTGATTAAAGTTGTTTATTAGCATCATTATAGATAAATTGTGTATTTAGGCGTTACTCAAAGGTAAACTTAGATGCATAATTGATAATGGTTGGTTATCTGAACCTATTAAGTTTATTCAAAGCATAAATATTTAAGCATGTATCAAATATTTCAATCCCTATGAATACGTATGGCATGAGCAATAGCGTAGTCAAGTTCAATAGGCTCAATTATGATGATTGGGCTGAACAAGTTTGATTTCAACTAGGTGTTATGCACTTAGACCTAGCAATCATTATGGAACAAGAGTCTTCATAGAGACCAATTCTGAAGAGGAAAAGACTCTTCGTGAGGCTTGGGAAAGGTTGAACAGGCTGAGCTTGAGCTTGCTGAAGATGACTATGGCTGAAAATGTGAAGCCATCGATGTCAAAGACTGGAAATGCTAGGGAATTAATGGCAAAGATGCACAATCAGACATTACTGACAAGTCCATTTCAGGTATCCTGTTGACTGAGCTGACTACTAAAAAGTTTAATTGGTCATCGCCTATTTATGACCATGTGACTGACATGATCAATCAAGCGGCAAAGTTGAAATCAATGGGCATGGAGGTAAAAGAATTCTTTCTAGTACAATTCATTTTGAACTCACTCCCTCATGAGTTTGGTCAATTCCAGGTGAATTACAACACCGTTAAGGATAAATGGAACATAAAGGAGATTAAGACCATGCTGGTTCAGGAGGAAGGGAGACTGAAAAAGGTGAAATAGCATTCCATCAATCTTACATTTCATGAAGGGACTAGTAGTAGCAAGGCTAAGCCAGGTAAAAAGAAGAAGAAGGATAAGGCCTTATTAAAAGTTCGTGAAGGCCGAATCTAGAAGAGCCAGAGATACTTTTTTTACAAGAAGGCTGGCCACGGAAAGGTATATATATTATGTTTCAGTATGCTTTGAATCAAATCTTATTGAGGTACCTAAAATACCTGGTGGTTAGATTCTAGTACAACTACTCATGTGTCACATGTAATGCAGGGATTTCTTTTGATCCAAACCATAAGCAGAACTGAAAAGTTCTTGTACATGGGAAACAGAATGAAGGCACGGATAGAAGGAATAAAGACTTACAGATTGATCTTGTATACTGGTTGTTGCAAAGATATAGAAAAATGTCTTTATGTTTCTGAATGTGCTAGAAATTTAGTTTCTATTGCAAAGTTGGACGAATTTGGTTTTAATTTTAAGATTGGGAACGATACCTTTTCTTTGTATAAACACTCATACTATTTTGAATCTGGTACATTAATTGATGATTTATATCATTTCAATCTTAATGTTAAATTTGCTGAATCTTTGTTCATGTTGAGAATGCTGTCAGTAGTAATTTGAATATGCGTAATGAATGTTCTGCTTTCTTGTGGCATCAAAGGTTAGGTAATATATCCAAAGAAAGGAAGATAAAGTTAATGAAAAGTGAAATTTTACCTCAGTTGGATTTTGTTGACTGGATGTATGTGGGATTGTATTAAAAGAAAACAAACCAAACACATATCAAAGAATCTATTCACAAGAAGCAGTCAACTCTTAGAGTTGATACACACTGATATTTGTGGTCTGTTTGACATCTCATCTTGGGGTGGTGAAAGATATTTCATTACTTTTATCGATGACTACTCACGTTATTACTATCTGTATGTGTTGCATGAAAAATCTCAATCAGTAGATGTCTTACAAGTGTTCATTGATCAGGTGGAAAAGCAACTAGATTGAAAGGTAAATGTTGTGAGGTCAGATAGAGGTGGTGAATATTATAGAAAATCTGATGAAAGTGGACAATGTTCAGATCCATTTGCGAAACTTCTAAAAAGTCGAGGCATATGTTCACAGTATACTATGTTTGGTACACCATAACAAAATAATGTGGCTGAAAGGTAGAATCGTACTATCATAGAAATGGTTAGGAGTATATTGAGTTACAGTTTTATACCTATGTCTTTGTGGATATACGTATTAAAGAATGCTGCGTATCTGCTTAACAGAGTTCCTAGTAAGGCAGTTCTAAAGATTCCTTATGAACTGTGGACAGGAAAGAAACCCAGTTTAAGACATCTTCATGTCTGAGGTTGTCCAGCAGAAGTAAGAGTGTATAATCCACATAAAAAGAAGCTTGATGCTAGAACTATTAGTGGTTATTTTATTGGCTATCCTAAAAAATCAAAGGGGTACAGATTTTACTGTCCTAACCATAGTATGAGAATAGTTGAGTCTGGAAATGTAAGGTTCATTGAAAATGATCAGTTTAGTGGGAGTGGTGAAACACGAAAGGTGGAAATTAAAGAGACACATGCGGAAACTTCTGTAGTTAGTGTCTCTTGTCAAGTTGTTGTTCCTCTTGTTGTATCACAGTCACACAACATAAGGAGACAACAAGTTAATATTCCAAACTCACAAGAATAACATATAGAGAATGAATCAGCTGACAATGCACAAGTCACAAATGAGCAAGAGGAAGGTGAACCACAAGAGATAACATTAAGGAGGTCTGTAAGGCAGAAAAGACCTGCTATTTCAAATGACTATGTGGTTTACTCACTTGAGCATGAATGTGACTTGAGTATTGATGAGAATCCAATCTCATTTAAGCAAGCCATGAAATATTACAATTCTGAAAAGTGGTTGAATGCTATGAAAGAAGAGTTAAAATTAATGAGTGACAATAAGGTATGAGATCTAGTCAAGTTGCCTGAAGGTTCAAAACGAGTCAGTTGTAAGTAGGCCTTTAAGACCAAACATGACTCAAAAGGCAACGTTGAGGGATACAAGACTAGACTTGTTGCTAAAGGATACACTCAAAAGGATGACATAGACTATAAAGAAACCTTCTCTCCGATTTCAAAAAAGGACTCTTTAAGAATTGTTATGGCTTTGGTGACTCATTATGACGTAGAGCTTCACCAAATGGATGTAAAGACCGCCTTTTTGAATGGTGACTTGGAAGAGGAAGTTTATATGGATCAGTCAGATGGCTTCTTGACCGCAGGTAAAGAAAGTATGATGTGTAAGTTAAATAAATCAATATATGGGTTGGAACAGGCTTCCAGACAATGGTATCTTAAGTTCAATGATACCATCATGTCATATGGTTTTGTAGAGAATACCGTTGATCGGTGTATCTATATAAAGGTCAATGAGAGCAAGTTCAACATTTTAGTCCTGTATGTTGATGACATTCTTCTTGCTACTAATGATGTTGGGTTGTTGCATGATGTAAAGGAGTTTCTCTCTAAGAACTTTGAGATAAAAGATATGGGTGAGACTTCCTATGTGATTGGAATAGAAATATTCCGTAATAGATCACAAAGATTACTGGAATTGTCTCAAAAAGGCTATATCAACAAAGTATTAGAGAGATTTAAAATAGAAAAGTGCTCATCAGGGGTAGTTCCAATTCAAAAGGGAGACAAGTTTAGTGAAATGCAATGTCCCAAGAAGGAGTTAGAGTAGAAAGCAATGGAATCTATTTCCTATGCATCAGTGGTTGGAAGTTTAATGTATGCTCAGACATGCACTCGGCCTGATATCAGTTTTGCTGTTGGAATGTTAGGCCGATATCAAAGTAATCCCAAAATGGACCACTGAAAGGCTGCAAAGAAAGTCTTTAGGTATTTACAAGGCACCAAGGATTACATGCTTACTTATAGGAGATATAGTCACCTGGAAGTGGTTGGCTACTCGGATTCAGACTATGCTGGATGTGTAGACTCAAGAAAATTGACATTTGGCTACATCTTCTTGTTGGCTAGAGGTGCGATTTCATGGAAGAGCAGAAAGAAGTCCATTATTATTACGTCTACCGTGGAAGCGAAATTTGTGACATGCTTTGAGGCCACTATTTATGCTTTGTGGTTACGGAACTTTGTCTTACGGCTTGATATTGTTGATAATATAGAAAAGTCGCTAAGAATGTACTATGATAATTCTGCAGCTGTCTTCTTCTTTAAGAATGATAAGTATTCAAAGGGAACAAAGCATGTGGACTTAAAATACTTATCAGTGAAAGAAGAAGTACGAAAACAGAAAGTGTCTATTGAGTACAGTGATACTGATTTGATAATAGCGGATCCGCTAACTAAGGGGATTGCCCCCTAAAACGTTTTCTGGCCATGTTAGTAGAATGGGCATTATAGACAAGTCCTTGTTAGCATGATTGTGTGATTCACATACATGTGTATAGATTGTTTTGCTCATATTATTGTAGACATTTTGAGAATTCAATAAAAGTATTATTTCTGCTTGTTTACTTGTTATCTGAATTGTGTTAATGTACATGTATGATTTAAATTTGATAATAGGTTGAGTGTTAAAAACACATTAG